GCTTGGACTGGCGCACGCTTCGTTGGGTTAGAAACTGGCTGGATAGCCGGGCCCAAAGAGTCGTGCTGAATGGAGTCAAATCCAGTTGGAGGTCAGTCACTAGTGGCGTCCCCCAGGGCTCGGTGCTGGGGCCGGTCCTCTTTAATATCTTCATTGATGATCTGGACGACGGCATTGAGTGCACCCTCAGTAAGTTCGCAGATGACACCAGGTTAGGTGCGTGTGTCGATCTGCTCGAGGGTAGGAAGGCTCTGCAGGAGGATCTGGATAGGCTGCACCGATGGGCTGAGGTCAACTGCATGAAGTTCAACAAGGCCAAGTGCCGGGTCCTGCACCTGGGGCGCAATAACCCCAAGCAGAGCTATAGGCTGGGAGATGAGTGGTTGGAGAGCTGCCAGGCAGAGAAGGACCTGGGAGTATTGGTGGAAAGTCAGCTGAATATGAGCCAGCAGTGTGCTCAGGTGGCCAAGAAGGCCAACGGCATCCTGGCTTGTATAAGAAGCAGTGTGGCCAGCAGGGCTAGGGAAGTGATTGTCCCCCTGTACTCGTCTCTGGTGAGGCCGCACCTCGAGTACTGTGGTCAGTTTTGGACCCCTCTCTACAAGAAGGACATCGAGGTGCTTGAGCGAGTCTAGAGAAGGGCAATGAAGCTGGTGAGGGGTCTGGAGAACAAGTCCTAAGAGGAGCGGCTGAAGGAGCTTGGCTTGTTCAGCCTGGAGAAGAGGAGGCTCAGGGGCGACCTTATCGCTCTCTACAGATACCTCAAAGGAGGCTGTAGTGAGGTGGGGGTTGGCCTGTTCTCCCATGTGCCTGGTGACAGGACGAGGGGGAATGGGCTAAAGTTGCCCCAGGGGAGTTTTAGGTTAGACGTTAGGAAGAATTTCTTTACTGAAAGGGTTGTTAGGTACTGGAACAGGCTGCCCAGGGAAGTGGTGGAGTCACCATCCCTGGAAGTCTTCAAAAGATATTTAGATGTAGAGCTTAGGGATATGGTTTAGTGGGGACTGTTAGTGTTAGGTTAGAGGTTGCACTCGATGATCTTGAGGTCTCTTCCAACCTAGAGATTCTGTGATTCTGTGATTCTGTGAAAACGGTACCTGAGGCACAGGCTACTTTTCAGCCTGCAGCAGACTACAGGTATGATATCATCCTTTGATATCATACCTATATCGTATATCATGTTATCATATCAAGAAACGTAGAAAACTGCCTGTTGCTTCTCGGGTTTAAAGTTTTCCCTTAAAAGGTGTATGCAAAGGTGTAATCAGCTGTCTGAGTACAATTCTCATGTACACATGAGCATTTTCCTCTCCCCTTCCCAACTTGGAGTGCAACACTTTTCATCATACTGTTATAAATTCCGAGTCAACTTAGCTTTATGAGATTTATTTATGGGGTTAATAAAAGGCAAGTAAAGAGCGCTGGGTGCGCGGGGAGTCTGGGCTCCTCCAACACACACACACGTTACATCAAGCAGCAGCTTTTTCTGCTCCTAGGCTAATACATGTTCATTACTACTTCTAGAAAAGGCAGTGTTATTATAATTAGTTCCCGGATTCCAAACCCTCCCACTGGCACATGCGTATCAGTCCCCGGTGGTCCCTCTGGGGGTCTCTCGTGCTGAAGGCTCATAGTCTTCCTCCCAGGCTTTGTCCTTGTCCTTCTCCTTTGTCCATCTTGGCTGGATATCAGGCTTGCCTCTAACTCTATACAAAAAAGAGAGAGAGGCACATCTTTCTACTCTGTCAGCTACTGGCAGACCTAGAGAGAAAAAAAAAAAAAAGTTGTTAATTAAAAAGTAATGTTGTTTTAAGGCATTTCACCAAATATGTTAATATTTGGTAGAAACCAGACAACAAATGAAAGGGAAGAAGAAATGGTAGAAGGTACTTGCATGACCTTAATTTACACGGCAATGGACAACAACGACAACCTGCAATGATTCAGAAGTGCCTTACACCATACACCCTTGAGACAGAAAACTGGGATTCCCATATGATGTAAGGGGAGTGCAATCCCTCTCAAAATACGAGAGCCTGGGGGACGCTACTGAGTACTGAAAATGTTAAGGCTAGGCAGCACCGAACTCAACAGAGAAGGGAGGCCGAGTCTCCCTGGCTGTTCACGTAACAGACAAGAGCCTCAGCTTTTAGCCCTAAGCAACGATTCATAGTGCCAGGCGGGGAACTAGTTCTTCTTAAGCCAGGGACCATTTCAGCATCTTTGAAGCTACAGAAAGGCTTGAAGGCTCTGTGGAATCATGTTCCTGGCGCAAAAATCTGGGGACCAGGACTGGGCAAGTGGGGCACAAGTGTGCTGGGGAGCAAGCTCTCTGGGCTGATTACCAGGGCTTTAAACTAGGTTTGATGGGGGAAGGGAGGGGAGCTAAAGGTGACAGAGAAGGGCTGGGGGAAGTCCTCACTACTGTTATAAACGGCTCAGTCTTCAAAACAGGACTATAATCAAAGGTTACAATTTATTAAAGGAATAGAGGTAAGCAAACAGCGCTGGGTGCACCGGGAATCTCTGCTCCACCAAGACGCACACCAGTTACATCAAGCAGCTGATTTTTATGCTCCTAGGCTAACACGTGTTCATTACTGCTTCTAAAAAAAAACACCAGGGTTATTATAATTAGTTTCCAGAATCCAAACCCTCCTACTGGAGCATGCGTAACAGTCTCCGGTGGTCCCTCTGGGGGTCTCTCATGCGGAAGGCTCATAGTCTTCCTCCCTCTGGTCCTTCTCCTTTGTCCAGCTTGGCTGTAAGAGACTTGTGCAGCATCCCCTGCAAGCTTTGTCTTTTAGTCGTTCTTCAGCTTTCCCCGTCTCCTTAGTCTCCTGGCCAGATACCAGAGACTTGCATAGTGTCCCATGCAATAGTCATAATAGTTAGCAGCTATTCTGACACCCCCCCCCAGGTATCAGAGACTTAAAGGAAAAGCCTACAAATACATTTCCTTTCAAGCTCTCTATTGACACGAATTGCTAAAACATTCCTTTGCAAGGTACAAGAACTACATACATGTACATTAATTACTCTGTTTTTCTTAGACTTGTGCTTATAGAAGGGTCTGTAGGACAGAAGGTCACATTCATCATACCATGCAGCCCTAGCATTGTTCCATATTGACACGAATCAGATGAACACATTTCACACCACTGTCACTGTTGAAGACAGGGAAAAACTTCTGAGCTCTCCCATAGGATTGTCTGAGGGCTCCTCAGAGAAGGTAGCGTTCCCAATCCCCCTGTCCAGTATCTTCTTCTTGCATCCTCCCGGGGTACCTATACCTGCTGCTTCCCTAAAGTGCTTGTGCACCAGTGCACGGAGCATGGGAAATAAACAGGATGAGCTCAAGGTCTGCGTTCGGATGCGGGGGCACGATCTCGTTGCGATCACCGAGACGTGGTGGGACAGCTCGCATGACTGGAGCACAATCATGGAGGGACTACGTCCTCTTTAGGAGAGACAGGCTGGGAAAGCAAGGGGGTGGGGTTGCCCTTAAGTGAGGGAGCAATTAGAGTGTAGCCAGCTCCAGCTGGGGGAGAGTGATGGATAGGTGGAGAGCTTGTGAGTTAAAAAAAAAAAAAAAGGTGGGCTGGTATGGGAGACATGGTGGTGGGGGTCTACTACAGGTCTCCAGATCAGGAGGAGGAAGTCGATGAGGCCTTCTACGAGCAGCTGCTAGTAGCCTCACAATCACGAGCTCTGGTCCACATGGGGGACTTCAATTACCCAGACATCTGCGGGGTAAGCAATTCGAACAGGCACGAGCAGTCCAAACAGTTCCTACAATGCGTTGAGGACAATTTTCTGATGGATCTGGGAAACTGCAGGTTAGTCAGTCTCACCTGTGTCCCTGGAAAGGTATTGGAGCAGCTTGCTTGGGATGCCACCGGGGACCAGGACTGGGGACCCATCTGTTATCCATGATCACATGACAGAAACTTTATAAAACCCCAAGTTCCAAAGATGCCTGTAGGTATGTGGAATAGTACTGCCTAGATACTAAAATCTAATTACCCTTCCATTTTTCCTTGGAATTAAAAAAAAAAAAAAAAAAAAGCAATCTGAAAGCTAGATGTCCGCTAGGAGGTAGTTGCAAGTCGACCAGCCATAGTCTTAAATGCAATCAAGTCAATATAAACCCCTCTTTGTAAACGGCAACTTAATTTTAAATATCTACAGAGACTTTTAGCGTCTATATTTATCAGAGAGAAATAAGGCACTGGTACAGTGGCATGCATCTGATCTATGCCATGCACTCCTAAGATATATGCCTGAGGATGAGAACCTAAAGGCATTAAACCTAAAATAGTTGGTTATGAACCTCAACTTAAGATAGGAGAGACAAATCCTAAATCTTAGTGTAAATATGCTTTTCAGTAGCTGTGTTTTGCTTATCCCCCATAGCTAAACGTGAGAAGCATTCAAGAAATCCAAGCTGGAAATGGAAAAAAAAATAAATAATAATAATAAAAAAACAAGGTCCACAGTTACAGACAAAAAAAAATATGTAAAAAATAAAATCAGACAAATCCCCTTTATTCTCTTCTACGCTGTCTTTGCCCACTTAGTGCAGAGGCATACCTTTGTAACTAGGACTTAATTCAGGCACAGGTATGATAGCTTTGCAGAATCAAACAATCAACATGCAACTTTCAGCACATACTTACTTTTCAAAGTAAACATTCAAGAATAAGAACTAATTTTTTACAAGCATTATCTAGCTTCTTTATGCTTTGCCAACTTCACCTCATTTTTACATCTCACTTCCAGGAGGCAGGCTTTTATATGAAGCTGTGTTTTCATACACTCAGAAAAAAGAAAACGAAGTGATTATATCTTTGACAAGCCAGACTGCACAAGCATGGCAATTATACCATACTGTATGTCTCCTGAGGGACGGGAGTTAATCACATCACAACATCATTTTGAGAAGATAAGCAATATCTTAGATGTTTTAAGGTTTTCCCTGTTCTGTACAACTAGCTGACCAAATTGGTGCCATAAACGATTGCTACCTGTGGAAAGCAGATTTGATTACATGAAGATAATCTATGATATTGTTCTTTAGTCTTAGTAGCGGATGCTAGTTTTGATAACATCAATATTTGGAAGAGTAAAGCATAATGTCAGAGGTCCATTAACTCAAATCTCTCTTGGGTTTCTATTTTGAAGTGGTCTTTGCAATAACTTCTTAGGTGGGATCAAAATTTGTTGTCAGTGTTTGAGTTAAGTGATTGCTGGACACTATGCTCAGTACAATGATTATTACTTACAAAACTCCATAACTTCAAGAGGATTCTGAGAGATCTGTAGAAATAATTTACGTAAGTATTCTGTGGAGGTCAAAGTTAGCTTTATTCTCCCTCAACTCTCTATTTATAAAGGAGAGGTAGTGCTACTGCCATGCCCAAACCATATAAATCAGGGACACATTAAACTACTTAGCCCCACTTTTCTACTATGAACTGAGAACTTGGTGCCTTTAAATAATTGAGACAAGCAGTGTACACAAGAATCATGTCTCTTTTCTCTTTTAGTCTCCATGAGTCTCCCTGAGGTCACTGTCCTTTGCCTGGGACATGTCACCATCAAAGAACATATTCGAACATATTCTTTTCAGACATTTACAGAGGTCTTTGCATGAAAACAAGAAAAAGCATAAAGTATTTTTATGGAGATTCAAAGGGAAAATCCTGGTCCCACTGAAATAAAGGATGGTGTTAACCATCCCCTTACCTCTATCCTATAAAGCCAGGACAGGCAGAGAAAAAGAAACAAGGAGAACTATTCTTTTAAAGCCTCTTACTATAAGAGGATTTAATGTTTAATTAGCACCTAAATCTCACTGCCTAAATTCTACTACGATTCTTCTGCTGGGATTCTTCATTGGTGTATAGCAGTCTAAGGTCCCACCTTGCCACCACTACCCAAATGGCATAGATTTTTTTTCCAACTGCCTAATTGATGATGACCATTTTCAGAGATGATTCAGTGAAAGCTTCTCAGACACCTATAGATCTGTGCTGACACAGAGAGACTATGAGGCTCTTTCAGAGTCATTACCTAATTTTAAATGCCTCATTATAGGTCTATGATATTGCTATCTGCCTACACAATCTTTTGAGGTGATGGAGAAAAATAAGCACTTTAAAGGATAATATATGTAGGTACTACATGCCATACCAAATAAAGATGTCTCACAACCCTAAAAGAAAAAAAAAATTGTTTTTCTCCACTGTCTCTAAAGGTACCCTTGGAAAATTATTTCACATGTAGATAACTGCTGTTTAGATTTCCCATTTGTCAGTGAAAACTTCGCTAGATTTAAGCGTCTTTCACCTGCCTTGTGTATGCTTCACCTCCTTGCTTTGGAGTCCCATGCTGCTTCCATTTGTAGAACAGGGCAAGATGCATTGTCTCAAATAACCGCACAATAACATCATCTCTGAAGCTTGATAGAATCCCAAACATTTGTGCTGATTCCCATTGGGAACCTGTAAGCAATGACAAAGAACAATCATCTCAAAACAAAGCCTTTTCATTTAGTGTTAACACAAGAGAGACCCCAAAGGTGTTTTACCACATGCTCCATCACAAGTTACAAAAAAAAAAAAAAAGCTTCACTCTCCAGACTCTGAAACAAACAAATAAACAAACAGAAGGCACTCACTCCATCAGAGAAAGAAAACCACAACCTGCAAGTTTTCATTAATTTTATTTACACAAGACATGTGCAGTCAAAAATATACATCGTTCATATTCCAGAAGGTCTTCCCTGTGGGCTAATCCCTTACAGGACATGTTCCATTGGCTGTCACCAGCATTTGTTAAAGGGCTGTTAGGAATGTTTTAACAATTCGTGTCAATAAAGAATAGTCCTGTCTGCCTCTGAGTCCTGCACTGGCAATTTAATTCTTGAACCACAGATGCAGTGTGTCCCAGTCTCCCCCTCATTCTAGTCAATTTATCAAGTCTTCAGAAAATACTCCTCAAATTTATGAACCTGTTTGCCTTTGTTATTCCGGACTTCTATTTCTAACAGTTACAGCCTTTTTTTTTTTTGTCTTCTTCAAGATTAACTTAACACTGCTATAGGTGTGACTGTCCCTGTGAATGGCTGTTGAGGAATGTTTTAATTACTCGTGAAATATCAATAAGAAAGCTATTTGTGTTTGTATGAAGTCTTTGATGTCTGGGGGTTTCAGAACAACTGATAACAACTAGTGACTGTTATGGGATACTATGCAAGCCTCTGATATCTGGCCAGGTGGCCAAGAGATTAAGAAGAAGCAAAAAAGAAGCTGAAAGACAGCTAGGAGACAAGACCTGCAGGGGATGCTGTGTAAACTTGACACGGTGCCAAGGAAGTACAAAGGGGAAGGACAAGAAAATAACTTGGAGAGGAAGACTACGAGCCTTCAGCATGAAAGACCCCCAGAGGGACCACCGGAGACTGATGCGCATGCTCCAGTAGGAGGGACTGGACCCCGAAAGCTAATTATAATAACCTATTTTTTTTAGAAGTAGTAATGAATATGTATTAGTCTAGGAGCATAAAAATCAGCTACTTGATGTAACTGGTGTGTGTCCTGGTGGAGTGGAGACTCCCGGTGCACCCAGCACTGTTTGTTTACCTCTATTCTTTTAATAAATCCTATTTTTTTATTTAATCCTATTTTGAAGATTGAGCCATTTCTAACAGGGCTAACCTGTGCACATATCTATTACAGTGTATAATCAGTAACACAGTCTAATGAAAGAGAAAAAGAGATGAGACATCTCACTCATGCTTCTGAATCAGTGCCACAAAACAATTCTGCAAAATGGACAGGAAAGCTGCTTACTATATGAATGGAAGGTTTCTCCAGGATACAAATACTCAATTTTTAAAAACCAGCAAATCTCTCTTGGGTGTATGAAGTGGTCTCTTCTATAAAATTTGCTGCTTGAGAGTAAGTTCACTAAGTGTAAGCATCAAAACCTGTTTTTCTTCTTTAAAAACAAAGTGAAACTAGGGAAAATAGTTTGGATGGAGATGTTAGTAAACATAGGTATCTGCATTTAGAAGGACAGGTTGAGTGTTTTTGTGCTATACTGCACCAGTCCTACCCTACATTCTATTCATTGCCTTTTCTCCTGCTAAGTAAGCGTCTGAGAAAACACTTTCCTCTCTATTGATCTTCTTAGGGCTTCCATAACCTCCTTGTTCCTCAGGCTGTAGATCATGGGGTTCAGCATGGGAAAGACCACAGTGTAAAATACAGCAATTATTTTGTCTGTGTCTGGTGAGTAGCTGGAGCTAGGTCGTAAATAAGTGAAGAAGAGGGAGCCGTAAAATAAGCCAACAGCCATCAGGTGGGAGGTGCAGGTAGAGAAGGCTTTGTGCCTGCTCTCTGTGGCATGAAACTGAAGGATGGTGCCAAGGATGCAGGCATAGGAGATGATGATGATCAGGAAGGTGCTGGTTTGTATAAAGCCACACAAGGTGAAGAGGAGAACCTCATTGATGTGTGTTTTGGAGCAGGAGAGCTCCAGCAGTGGGGGAATGTCACAGAAGAAGTGGTTGATGGTGTTGGAGCCACAGAACGACAGGGTGAACACAAAGCTCGTGTGGACCAGTGAGGTCAGAACCCCACTGAGATAAGCCCCAGCTACCATGAAGGCGCAGGCCTGGCGGGACATGGTAATGGTGTAGAGAAGAGGATGACATATGGCCACGTAGCGGTCATAGGCCATCACAGCCAAAATGAGGCACTCAGCATCAGCGAGGGCAGCGAAGAGAAACATCTGTGTTGCACAACCAAAGAAAGAAATGGTCTTCCGCTGTGCTAACAGATTCAACAGCATCTTGGGAGCAATAGCAGATGAATAGCTGAGGTCTAAGAAAGATAAATTGCTTAGGAAATAGTACATGGGGCTATGAAGACAGGCATTGAGCCAGACGAGCACAATGATGCCAGCGTTGCCCACCAGCGTGGTGATATAGATGAGCAGGAAGAGCCCAAACAAAGGTAACTCCACCTCCAGATGGTCACTGAAACCCAAGAGAATGAACTCGGTCACTGCAGTGTGGTTTTCTTCAGGCATTTCCCTCCTTCACATCTGCCCTTTTGGTAAGCGTTGTCCAAGGGATCATTGGTTGTTCCTAACGCTTGAGCCACAATCAAGCAGGGTTCGTCCCTGTCTGCTCAAGAGACTTAAAGGTAGCACAATTATTTTACACACAATATCAAAAGGAGAAAGTGGTGATGTAAAGCATACTCAGACGTAAAACCTGAGGAGGACAAAGAGAAATTAGGAAACAATTCCATGAGAAGTTCTTCCTCTTATAGCAGATAGATTCAATGACATGTGCATGACATAGACGTTCTTAGATGGGTATTTTGAAATACTTAAAGCCAAAACAGTATATCAATGAGTGTTTTATATGTTGCATTGCTAAAAAAAAAAAAAAACAAAACAAAACAAAAAAACAAACAAACAAACAAACAAACCAGCACATTACTTCCTACATGAAATAAGCATTAGATGTTTGGGTGAGTGAAGCATAGGGTTCAGCCACAATTTAGGGTTAGTAATGTTCATTTTTGCTTTCGTGTTGAATATTGTTCCTCATATTTTCTTTCTTTTTAAATGCTTAACATAAATATGAGATTTGGGGGATAGAGCCTCTTCTTTGACATAGGTCAAATTTAGAACTACATTAAGTCATCAAAATGGGAAAAAAAAAAAGTAATGTTTTTAATATTGAACCTTTAAAAAAAACTCACATACTTTGCTGTTGCTACTGTTGTTGAAGCTATAAACTGAACTTAAATTATGCTGTCAAAGGTATCCCTCAGAACACAATCCTTCAAATACATTCTCCAGATAATCAGGTTTGGGTGCTAGTTTCACCTTTGGAATAGAAATTATGAGTTTAACTTTACCATGCAAACGTAAAGACTGATTTCTGCTTCTATCAACATAAATTTAAGTAAGGATAGATTTTTTTGTTCACATTTTTACTTACAAAAGGAGATGTAATAAAGGATATGCTGCCAGAAGTCACTGAAATAACTGCAGATTTCAATGCTGTGCAGACAAAAAAATACCATGAAAACAGAAATGTCAACATCCCTCCAAAAACCCCCAAACAAAAACAACAGCAAGAAAAATCTATGAACCCTTCGGGATAAGCAACCAAATGCACTTCAAAAATAAATCTTTTACTATATATAGTAAATAAACTATGCAATAAGTTAGGCTTGATGCGGGCATACAGAAAAGCAGATTCTCTTCCCAATTGTGTTTCCAGACCCTGTAGATGGAAGAATTTGCACACCCATTTAGCTGCCTAAATGTCAGTTTGAGTCATATCAAGTCCGTGTGTAAACACAAGATCATTTATAATCACTTCTTTCCTTGGTTTACTGCCAGGGAAGGAAGCCTGGTTGACCAGCACAAATTCATCACCAGGCTTTCTGATAAGCAAACCTGAGTAAGCTGAATCTCACCCGGAACATATCAATGGGATCTTCTCTTCCAAGACTTTTCTACTGTCAGGGGAAAGAGGACAAATTAAAAGGTTACCTCTGAATCATCTTATCTAGCATCTGAATCACCTTCTGCACTTGTGTCTTCCTTCATTCTGTAAGAACCTAGAGTGTTTAAGGTTGTCATTTAAACCCCCTGATTTCTGGTCCTGATGAGGGGTGACACACAGCCATTCCTGGAGTTTTAGAAGAAGTTAAAAATGCTGTAAGAAAGCAGAGATTATTTCCCCAAAGCAGGAACCTAGATAGCGAGGAACAAATAAGCAACATCCCCATGCCTTATGGCTAACCACAGTGCGTAATCCCTTTCGCAAGCCAGGCAAACTTCGCCTTAAAATGAAACAGAGTTAGTTGCCAGCCTTGCTGGATGGATGGTACAAAACAAGGATGTTGAGGGGACCACAGCAATAGTCCCTTTTTTTTTTTTTTTTTCAAACATGACAATTTATACACATGTTGTTCACATCTCACCTCCCTTGAGGCAGTCTGTGCATGAAATACAGTTCATTCAGCTACACTGGATGTGTGAGAATGTGGAGTTTTTATTCACAGCCTTTGGTAGGTTGAATCTTTTCCTACTGCTTCACTTCAAAATAAACCTTTTAAAATATACAGAAAACAGTCACTTTCTTTTGAAGTCTTCTACCAGCATGCCTGTGGTACCAGTCATTTCTGCAGGAGGTTCTCTTCCCAACATCTGCCACTGGTGAGTAACATGCTGGCCATGCTACAACTGTGTCCACCTCATCACCCAAAGTCAGGGAAAAGAGGCATTCCTAGACACCAATTCATCCAGCCTACCTCAGACAGTTGTGTCTGCTTCTTTCACATTCAGCACAGGAAAATTCATTCTTCTTTTGTCCAACCATTCAAATGTGGAGAGTGATACACCAGCCCTGTACAGGGATTTCAGATATGCTATTGAAAAGCACTCAGTTTCCTCATTGTTTATATTGTCACTTCCATCACGTTAAACACTCAAAGGGTGTATGGCTACAAGTCTCTAATGCTATGTTTTCCTGAGTCTTTGGTGAGATTTCTTAGGAGAAATAAGAACAACCACCACCATACCAGAAATAATTATTAACTCTCTCAGTTCAAGTTTTGGCTGGAGGAAGAAGAAGAAAAAGGGATATCAAGAGTCAGGAGAAGTATGTGGTCCTCTCCTCCCTCCCCTTTTCCACCACCTGTAGCATCATCTTGGTTAGTCATTTGAACAGAAATATAATGGAAACTTCATCTACACTCTGCAAAACACATTAAGCTTTTTCATGGAAAGGGACCTTAATGGTATTAAGAAGTGGCAATAATTGCTATTTTTTCCAGTAGCTGAAGGAACCAGCCATGGAAGGCTGAAGCGATGCCCCAGTCAAACACTGATATTTGTTCTTCCCCGTTAAACACCAAACCCAAGTCAGACCTACCTGTGGGCGGTATGAGGACATCCTTGCACAAAAGCTGTTTTTGTAGGCAATGGGAAGGATTTATCACAGTGCCAGTGAGACACCAGGGACACGTTCCCTGTTGCATCTTCAGCTTTATTACCTCATGGAGAAAGGACAGCTAAGCTCTTGCTATTTTCTCCTTTCTTGGGCACAGAACTGACATCTGTACAGTGCAATTTACTGCACAGCTGTTCCTGATTTTGGTGAAGAGGGTGACAGTCATAATGTGGAAGTCCAGCTGCTTGAAACTGAGTTTTGAATGGTTTGGGTTTGTTTTTAGGAGGAATTTTAATTGTCTCCTCATTTGTGAGCCACAGATGATCTATATTAAGGTTTTCCCCCATGAATTCCTAGGTTTGAAGGGGCTTTGTCTTTTTATAAATTAAATGACACAACTGAAATTGCTATCAGGGTAGAATTAACCTGAGATACTATTCATCCACGTGAAAGTTACTCGTCTAAGTCTTATGTAGCTGTTTACACTCTTCCCATAGTCCATGGGGCATGATTAGTGGGACATTTATTCTGCCCATGTGGGAGAAGGCGCTCTGAAGATGCTTGTTTCTGATTTTGAAAGGTACTTGTTTCTACTTACTGACTTAAAAGGCAGCCAGGATACCAAACCGTAGCCCCCTGAATTCAAGTGAGAGCAATCTGTCCTCAGAAATCACTTGTTGCCACTAATGGAAAAACCTGAAGCTGGGCAAATTGAGCCCTGCCTCGTAATGACCAAAAAGCGTCCTTGTTACAGATGGAAGAGAACAGAATGAAGACAGACATTTGACAGCAGATCTTGAATGCAACACAGAAAGGGGAATGGTAACATTTAGGAAAGAAGCAACTGCTGGAAAAGCATATGCATGTGAAATACTGATGTTGGAAGAAAAAAAAATGAAAAAAGGGTGATTACTCACCATCTCAGGAAAGGAGGGCAGAGTGCTGGTCTGCAAGAGAAAGAGAAATCATTCTGAGGATACTACATGTAGAATTTCCCCTTTGTAAACAGAGAAATGAAACACACACCTGATGAGATGTGATACCATCTCTTCTGAAGTAAGAGAACAAGATATTGATGGAACTGAAAGACACAAAAACCCATAAAAGTCAAGTGAACCATAATTGATAGATGTCATACAACCCCCTCCTTGTTCCTAATGAAAGTCCAATAATCAACCAAAACAACATGTTTTTCTAGGCTGTTCTTTCAAATATAAGTTTTTCAGCTCTGTATTTACTGTGAAGCTGGATTTGACAAGGCTAAAAATATTAAAGCAACAAACTAAAAACAGCCCCTTTTGGGACTCCAGAAATTACCCTCACCAGAATTGACCTACAAGGAAAACTACCTGCAGATGGTCATCCCAGGGTCCTCCATGAGCCTTTCAGAGGTCCCCATGAGCCTCTGCAGAGCCTTCTGTGTTCCTCAGCTCCATGTCCCTTCTTCTTCTCCCTGAGCTCATCTGTGAACCATCGCATGCTGCATAGGTCTCTCCCACGTGCCTTTGGAGGTGTCTCAGAAACCTTCATTGGTGGTTTGTAACAGAACCCTGGGTGTTTCTCTGGGTGACCTCAGGTCCCATTGTGCACCTCTGGACCAGGCAAGGACTGGAAGTGCTTCTCAGATCCTGACCTCAGCTCTTGACCTCTCGGTACTCCTCAGCCCAAACCATGTTATTACCTTTGCTTTGCTTTCTCTGCAGTTATTTTCAGGGAGAATTTCCTGGGAGAAGCAAGTACCCATTGAACCCTGCTTTTCAGCACAAACAAGATGCTGACTGATGACTTTGGTAACTGGATGCCAGGTGCACCCAAGCCCATTGGCACTGGTTGTGGGCTGAAAGTTGCTCCTTAATTCAGTCCCAGGTTTCACCATGTCCTTGACCAGGGGTTAAAGCAGCAGCTGCACTGCCCCTCTGGGGGGATTTGGGTTTCAGGGTCTGCAGTGTTGCAGGTTGATGCCTGGGCTTCAGTTGTTTCAGCAGTTGTTTCAGCCCAAACCACTGGATGGGGTAGAAATGCTGCAGGGCTTTTTTGTCCCCACACGACTCACTTAGGCCAAGGGGCATGGAGGACTGGCTTCCTCCAGTTGGTTTGGGGTTGCCTGTTGTACACTGCTGTAATAAAAGAGAATCTTGGAGTGGCTTTTAAGAGTTTAAAACTTTAGAGTTGTCTTTAAGAAACTCCTGAAGTCTGATCAAGACTACTATACTCAGAAAGATGGCCTTTGGGAATGCCGAAGTTGGCTGGAGATTTCAGAAATCCCAGAATCCCAGAATGGTTGAGGTTGGAAGGGACCTATGGAGATCACTTAGTCCAAAAGCCCCCTGTTCAAGCAGGGTCACCTACATCCAGCCTGGTTTTGAGTATCTCCAGAGATCTGCCTAAGTCTGCTGAGGACTAAGTCTTAAAGTTGACTTTAGAAAAATCCTGAAGTCTGCTAGAGACTTCAAGGAATGTGTCAAGTTGGTTTAGGAAAGTGTTGAAGCTGAGATAGGAAAGTCTACATGAGACTCTAAAGGTAGTCTTAAAGTCAACTTTAAGAACACTATATATTTATATAAAGTTATCCATATTTATAGGTAACACACAAAATGTACAAAGAAGTCTCTGCCTTACCAGGGACAGCCTGTGGCCTGATGCCTTTCCTCAACTACCCTCTCTGTACCTGTTGGGTATTTTGGTGATCCCTATGCAGATATGCAGCCCATAACATCACCCCCGCAGTGCTTTAACTAGTTCAGCACCACATCTTGGATGTTAACCCTCAAAACTGTTAACAAAGGACAAAGTTTTCTCACAGGACAACACAGCAGCAAAAATATAGTGAAAAAGCCAAACGGTTGATGAGCCCATCTCTCAGGTATGCAAAAGGTTTTAAAAGTCTCTGGCAGAGGAAAAAAAAGAACTGTTAATCCAAGTGGTGATAAGAGTGCATCATCCATAAACATTGTCACAATCTCTGCCTTATAAGATCTACCCAAACCACTCATTCCTGCTCTACCAATCAGGAAGATTTAGAAATACATCCATAAAATAGGCAGGCATGCACAACTGCTGCACAGGTAAAAGAAAAAACACAAAGTGGAGTAAAATAAAGTGCTTAAAGCAAAAAATTGTTAAAAGAAGAGCTTGTGCTTATTGTATTTTTGTTTTTACTACGTTATTTTAGCTAGTTAATATTGCAAGCATTTACCAGTTTATAGTCACAGAGCCCTCATTTCAGGAAATCTCTTAAGCATCCATTGAAGTCCCGTCCACTTCCATACATCTCAAACATGCCTAAGTCTCCCTTTCAGGAAAACAGGAGCATTAGCTTAAGATAGTGAAAAGAATAAGATAGAAAATAGAAAACGTGAGGGGAAACATTTGTGCCTCTTCCACATGGATTGCCAAGAGGAAGACACAAGGCAGAGAACAGATCAGCCAGTGCCCAGAGACACTGATGGCAAGGCAGGCCAAGTCTTTAAATCAAGTTTACATTAATGAACACTTCATTAACCTTATGGTGACTCCAAATGCAGTCTTTAATATCCAAATGTTCACAAGATAGAAAATGCATTAGCAATATTCTTTTAGCTGTCAGTGATGTGATGTTACCCTTTATAACTCAGAAACTGCCAAGTGACACCAGCACAAACCCTGACACAGCAGCAACAAAGCAGGAAACTTAATTTAAAGCAAATTCACTGCAGAAATGAGGTGTATCTTATTAACAAACACAAAGAAATTGGCTGCTTGAGAACTTTTACAGCATGTAAAAGATGCACCATGCATGAACATGGTGGTTATTTTTTTTTTCTTCAGCCAGGCACTAAACCTAACTAAAATGTTGGTGACTTTCCGATAGGTGAAGAATAGCAAAAACTGATTCTATCTTCAGTTTGACTTTGGGCAAGGTCTGGAGGAAGATGCTGGTACCATCTGGGCTATGCAGTGATTTAATCTCTGTACAGAGACCTGTGCTCCATTTCCCCCGAGTCCTCTCTCCTGGTGGACTAGATGCAGCATCAGATGAGAGAAGCATGTAGCGCATTTAGCACGTGATGTCCAGGCACATGTATAGAGCTACTGTATTTACATTTCCCTGTATATACATCTTATTCTTTAAATGCATAAATCCAATCATGACAGGTGATGTTTGTTTATATCAGATTCTGGAAAATCCACTCTCAGGCCAAGGCAGCATCTTTGACTGGGGTGGCAGGGACCTGGGAACATCGGATGTGCCCACCAAAACACAGCATGGGCACACAAATACATCCCTGGGAAACCTCAAAAAGATGGAGGTCAACGTGGTGTGGATGTGTATTTGTGCCCAATCTGTACTGTTGCTATTTTAGAATAGCAGCAATAATAGACAATTTGAACAATTTCTGCTGAAATAATAAAAGTAAAAAACACATTCTTAGAAAAATGCAAGAAATTATCTTAAGGAAAAGTGACCACATTTGGCCAGTGCTGCTCTGAAGGAGGGCAACTGCCTAAAAGCCACAACAATCCATATTTAGGAAGTCTTTACAAAAACTGGCACCTCTTCAAGGCTGGCAGAGTAATTCCTGAGGATGGTGCCTCCATCAAACACACGGGCAGTGTTGGTGTCCATCCACTGGTGCCCTTCTCCGGGCAGGTAGATATCTCGCCACGTTTGCCCTTTTTCTGTTATTGGGGCCACCAAGACCTGCAGTGAAAAAGAGAGAAAGAAAAAAATAATTTTGCAGATGGAGTGTTAGCTGGGTCATTGCAGAGAAAGTCAGAACCTTTGTCTAACAGCTGCAAATGAGATTGTCCTTGTGTGCAAGCAGCAGAAGCCACAGCCACTGTGGTCAAGGCTTCCACAATTGCCGTGAGAAGTGATGCAATGGCCTTTGTTGGACTGAGCCTTGAGAGTCTGTCCAGCCTGTATTTTGTGAGAAAAATCACCTCTGGAGTCCATCTAATGCATGTTTTGCAAGAAGGGTTGTTAGGCACTGGAACGGGCTGCCCAGGGAGGTGGTGGAGTCACCATCCCTGGAAGTCTTCAAAAGACGTTTAGATGTAGAGCTTAGGGATATGGTTTAGTGGGGACTGTTAGTGTTAGGTTAGAGGTTGGACTCGATGATCTTGAGGTCTCTTCCAACCTAGAAATTCTGTGATTCTGTGATTCTGTGAAAAAGCCTCCAGGATCCACCCAGCTCATATTTTTAAAAAGACCCAAACTGAAAAAAAAAAAAAACCACCACAATCAGAAATAGGGTGTTTGTTTAAAACAAAGCTCCTGCTTCCAGGTTGAGCAGGACAGGATGGATGCAGGGAGGCTATGAGTGGGCTCAGGCTCATATGAAGCAGCTTTTGAGGAGGTTTTATGGAGCTATGGTGGGAATTGGTGGCACAGAATCAAGGGAGAGACATCTCCATGCCACGTAGATTTGTGACTGGGACATGAATTTCTCTTTTCTCCAGTCACCCATTGCTTGGGGGTAATCTGATTTGGACAAACCCTTCATTGTGAGTTAATAAATGAAGTCAAACACTACCTGGCAGCGAGACAAGCAGAAACTTGTATTTTAATTAGAAATGATCATGCTATGGGAGCTTTAGATGTGGTCTGCCATAAAGCTGGGCTTCAAAAGCCCTCTGCCTAGGGCTCCTCTCCAGGAGATCTGGTCTGGATTCAGGTTAGATAAGCTCTAGGAACAACCTGTGCTCAATACACATAATACAAGTTATTGATTTTCAAGCAACAGGTTCACTTTTCATTCATCATTCTGTGGACTCGAGGCTCCTTTGGAAATGCAAGAGATGTAGCTGCTCAGCGCCCAGAAGTGCTCATGGAAGTCCTGGCTCGTGGCCTTAGTACATGGGCAATTGCATAAAAAGCATTAAAAAAATAATAATAAAAAAATAAAAAAAGTAAAAGCATTTAAAATGTCCTTTTGTGTCACAAATCAGTGAGTCCCATTTGGAGATGTGTCATAAGGAGAAGCGTGTTCTGTTTGCTCCTCTACAGTGGCTTAGTCAGGGTAATACAGTCCCCAATGAACTTTACAGATTTTTTTCCCCTTCAAATTGTGGGAAAGACTATCCCATTGCTGGAGTCCTCTATACAGGAAGAAGGGGTTCGTGAGGGCTTTTTCACCCTTTACTGAAACAACCAAAACAAAACAACAAAAAAAATGTCTCAGTATTCTGAGGATATTTATACTTGATAAATTATTTTACTTCAGAAACTGAAAGAGGTTTTCAGAGCCCTAAATTAAGCCTTTTTCAAGGAAAACACAGGCTTTCTGAAAAGGAAAAATGAACAAAAAAAGGGAGGGGGGGAATAAATCAGCCACTTTGGCTTAAATTTAAAGCTGCTGTTTGCATTTGTGCTGTACTGAATGCACATGGTGAAGAAAGAGAGAATGAAAAGATAAAAATAAAACTCTAGGAAAGCCAATAATGGAAAAAATAAAGGATAAAAAGCAGAAATAGTGTAAGAAATGTATGCATCATTCATTCTTAAATCTGCTTTTTGAGGTCTTGGTCAATCCCCACACTGTACATCAATGCTCCTTGAGCAGCATTACCCCAAAGGAGGCAATGTGGTGTTTAGCTCCCTTTAGGGGACAGTTTTGGACCCTTGTGGCCTTTATAGATATGTTTGGAGCATGACCTGGCTTCCCAGTCTCTTGCAATATCCAGTTTTGCCAGGCAGACAGTGCTGATGGGAAGTGATGCTGCATGTGCTGATAATTTTTTGCTGACCGAGTGCCACTTGTCTCTTTGCCATTACATTTCAAAATCTTGTGCTGGAAGGATTCAACAGGTTGTAAGTATGCTGCCAAGACATGTGGACTACAGAGATCTGGCTGTAATAAATATACAAATCCACCTGAAAAAAAAAACAAACACGTGGATTTCAAAGCAGGGCTATCCTCCCACCTCAGAGTTACTCCTCAAAAAGGTGTGGGAGACAGCTCAGATGCCAGAATATGATGGTGATAGCACAAAGCCATGTTTCTGAGCTCCCTGCAGCAGATGCTTACATCCAGATCAATGTTCAAAAGGTTTATCCCAGCATCCTAATGCTTAGCCTTGCCTCAAACCACGCCAGGACAGAACCACCTTATGTAATAACCACCACTTTCCAGTAATTAATTATTAGTGGCACTCCAAATGGCACCAGGCAGGTTTTGGAGCACATTTCCATTCTTCCAACTTCCCAAGTCATCCTGGAAGTCAAAACATCCCCATCTGGATTCTTCCTCTGCCAGCTCAGGCTCCTTTTGAAGTGAAATCAGACAAGATTTTGCTGGCCTCACACGACACTTTATCAGAAGTGCTTGGCCCTGCAATACTGATGGAGCAGACCTGATATTTTACCGTATTTCGGGAGCTTTCAGCCAAACCATAGTTCGGCATCTCCAGGGAGAGATGATTTTGCAGTATTTTACTGGAAATCTAACACAGGCTAACACAGACCAGACCATTTTGATTACATCAGGGATTCTTCATTTTGAGTGATTTTGGGGGAAGTAGCTAAGCTTTAGCTTGCTTGCAGTTACAACCTGGATATGCACCCTACAGGGCATCAGGACAGAAATGTCTCTTCTGCACAATGCCACTCAAATTCACTTGTGCTAAGGATTTATATGTTTTAAAACATCCTACCTGATTTTGATTTTTACTTTAAAAGAGAAACAGAAAGATATTTTAAGAATTTCCTGCAGTGAGGCAAAGTTTCCTTAAAAAAATAAACATCCACAAAACAACATACACAATGAACCTGAAGAATTTGTGTTAAGAAACTCAAGCTTGGAAATCCTATATCACAGTATCTACCGGAGGCAGCAAGCAGGACCTGAGAAGATAACTCTGCAACACAAGCTGCCCTGATGTTAAAACTACAAACTCACTGCTGATGAACTTTGATTTTGAGTTTTGGATATTTTTTAGGAGACTGTGTCCCCTCCTTGGCCTCATCCCTATGCAAAGGCAGCACAAAGTGTTGCTGCAATTCACAGAGGATTATGCTCCCCCCCATGTTACCCCTTTGGGAGAATTGTCTCCACATTCCCCACCTCATCTCCAATGAGAAATTCATCCTCGATGGTGAAAGCGGTTGGGTCTGTTGGGCTGAGCCACCACGCCGGGCGGAAGATGGGGTACCCCAAACGCAACCACTCCTCGCTGTATTTTAGGATGAGTGGCACCACCAAGTCCCGGTGCCTCTGTATGCACTGCCGGGTAAGGTTCAGGACCTGCATGAGAGATACATGGCAATCCCTTCACTCCAAAAACACGGAAAAACAATACATGCATTTCCTTAGGGAGAGAAATCGCTGAACTGCAAGATCCTGATGGCAGCCAAAGGTGGTTGATATGGTTGATTTTTACCCATTTCAGTATAAAAGCTGAGGACATCAGCTGGTGGGTGATATCCTCCAGAGTGCTGATATCCTTAACCAAAACAAACAACCCTTTTGCTGCTAGTAAAGAGATACGATGGCATTCCCCACATCCTTCCTCATGATTTTTTAAGGAATCACCTTCTTCCTTCAATGCCCTAAAGGAGACATCCCCAGGAAAACGGTTTCAACCACTGAAACAGGTCTTTATGGCAAATCTACAGGCTTCACTCTCATATCATATAAACAATTTGATCAAACTATAATTAAGCAATTCCATCAGCAAAAGGGAAGCAGGGGCACATGTGACAATCACTGTCATACCCAGAGGTGCTGTAGGTACCAGCCATGCCATTGCACATAGCCTAAGCACAAAGCTGCATCAATTCACAAGAATTTTGTAGCAAAAAAAATGCTTAGAGTGGACAACGATGAGGTCGCTGGGGGCAGGATTTTGTGGGTGGCACAAGTAGGACAGTGGATTTTAGCCCCAGGTTTCCACCATGGGAATTTTAGTGGCTTTGGGAGGGAGGTTATCCCCTAAAGGATGGATGTACCCTCCTCCTCCTCCGCAGGATAGGGGGATACATACCCAGGTGTCGCAGCAGAGCCAGGGTGGAGTGCTGAAGGCCATCACGGGGAGGAAGGTCACGATCTGCAGCCACCTCACGTACAGCTCCTGGTCCCCTGGGGCATCACCAGCCAGGCTGCCTCCTGCCAGGGACAAGGAGCAGAGAAAAGCCTCTTGGGGACATTCCCTCACAGGACAGCTGGACAGCTTAAAGCCATCTGCTCTTGATGCAAGCAGGATGCACAACCCCAATGCAAGAGAAGCTGGATCCCCACCCATGTGTTTTTTCTTCCTTTGTTTCCCAATTAAACATCCTGAAATGGCTGGAGATGGATGTTTGATAGGGCTCATGCTGGGGATGATGTACCAGGAGACAGTTTCTAAATTTTAGCAGAACAATGTAAAAAGGGCTTTCTCCTCTTGCAAATGAAAGTGTTGGGAATATAATGGATTTTTCTGCCACTTTGATGTGCATCATGGAAAAATACTCCAGTCTCTTGAGGCTGTCACAATGTGATATTAAAGGGGAAAAGCACGCAGTACAATATTGCGCCCAGATCCCATGCTAGGATTAAACCGGGATCACTAAAGCGTAGGTGATGCCATTATACCCAAGCAAAGGATGCTAGTCAGGTAAGACTTGATAGTATAACCTAAATGAACGAGACAGGTAGAGGGGAGACAGTAAGAAACCCTAAAAATTTGCTTCACCAGAACACAGCCAGTACCAACAGGGAAGGGCAGGTTGGAAAAATCCAACAGTCCTCAGAAAGGCACAAAGTGAATTTGTCCCCAAATGGGAAGAAAGACACGATGCTGTTGGTATCCCATGAAACAAGGCCCAAAGACATCCCTTGCAGGGATGGAGCCCTGCTCTCTCATACTTTGTCCCATTGACAAAAGCCAACAGACTCAACATCTCCTCAGGGCAGCAGTGACATGCCATGATTGCCCAAGCCTTGTTTTCTAAGGAAAACCAGCTAAAAATAGCAAATTGAAAATTGCTCAACACCACTTTTTTTTTTCAGGGCTGTCTGCAGCTCTGCTGGCTTTGATCATCTCCATGTGCAGCCCCTGCGATGACTCGTGTGCTTGTGGCAAGGTTCAGACAAATAACACTGCCTCCTCCAAGAAGAGAGGCGAAACAAGCCGCTCATCAGCCCTCATTACACGAGTGGTTCTCAACTTCTATATTTTTTTTTCCTGTTGTTGTTGAAGGATGTCTCATGCCATCATATGCTGGAGCAGAAATATAAACTTTGATTGTGGCTGCTGGCATTTTAGGAATATTTATTTCCCCATCTGAGAGCCCAGGCATGCTGTTTGCCAGCGGTTGGCTCCCTCCTTGCTTTTGTCACAGTTTTAGCCCAAGAAAAGCTGCAAGAGGCAGCGGGCTGCCCTCCACATGCAGTTAAGGAGCTCCACGAAGGGCATCCCCAGAGAGCTGGCTGCCTGTTAAGATTTACAATGTGTTTTTTTGTTTTCAGTTCCCCAGTCGATTCCCCTAGTAACCCTCAATCAAATCAAAACTGGATCCTGGGAACAAAACGTTTGAAGCGTCCCTATAGCACCCTAAAGCCTGTGCTCCTCTTGCCTGAAAAAGTGCCGCAAAAACAAACAAACAAACAAACAGGGAAAAAAAAAAAAAAAAAAAAAAAACAGAGCAAGGACAGCAACGGGGAGCAAAGAAGGAAAGAAGTCCTCACCCACTGCATCAGGGATGAAGAAGTTGTAGCCCAGCAGGCTGTAGTGCAGCGCAGAGGGGATAATCCCCTTTAGGCCCGCGTGGCTCCAGTCTGAGCGCCGTGGGCTCATCTGGACGAAGAGTGGTAGGTGACTAGATCTGTGGGGAAACAAGCACAAACCTGCTGTTTTTAGAAGGACCAGAGCAGAAATGTTAAGATTTCCGGCTGTCTCAGCAGACTCTGTGGTCAGATGTGGGTTCCTTGACCACCAGGGACCTCTGTGGAAGGGAGGTCAGTGCTCCCCACTAAGACTCCTACCCACTGAGCCTGCCCCGTCTCATTTGGCCACCCCAGTCCACCTCCTTCCTCTGGAACCTTTTCCCAAATCCCCAGATTCAAAGATTTCCTTCTCCTGGCTTGACCCCATGAGGTCCACATTTGGTGACCCACCTTGCAGCCATGGGCTGTAAACTTTCCCTTCCTACTCTACACATGGCTACGCCAGTCCTGATGGGAAAACACTCCCCACAAACATAGCCAAGACATCAACCAAGGTATCCCAACAGCACCCTCAGCCTTGGCCCCATGCAGGGCCCCAAATCCAAAGCATAAACCCCACTGAGATGCATCCTGCAGGGAGGATTTCTCCTCTTGGCTTTCACTCATGATCATCTGTTTTGCATTGAGCGGCTGTCATTCTTGACCGCTTTTGTCCATCTGCCATAGGAAAACATTATTTTTCTCCCCCCCCCCCCCCCCATTTTTTTAAATTACTATTTCATTTTTATTATTTTTTTTCTAAGTAGCATTTCTATGCCTAGGGTTTCCTTGGTGGTGCGGTGGGTCATGCCCCTGAGCAGCCTAATACTGGAAGCAGCCCCCTGCCACTGCATTTCTGGCAGCCAAAAAGGGTCACGTCCAAACCTTCATGACAAGTCTTAGCTTAAAAATAGTCTGGAGCTCATCTAGCCAAGGAGAGTTTAGCCCTGCATCCATCTGCTCCCACAGCTTGGATTCTTCATTGACCTCATGCCCATTTTGCTGACTCCCCAAAAGTCTCCGCTTTCGTCTTAGGAGACAGGCTGACATGAGGGTTTATGAAACACTTCTGGTATGAAAACTGCCCACCACGAAAGGTACGGTCCCAGATGGGCTAAAAATGCTTAGAGAAGTGCCTCTTTGCACCACTGACTCGCAGATGGTTGAGCAGGAGCCATCCACATCCCCAGCAGCTGCTGGCCTGTCAGTGCCTCAGCACATGAACCCCCCCTTTCTCTCTGAAAATTAACTAACTTGAAGTTGCTTTCTCATGCAGTTCACCATAAATTCCTTGCACAAAACATGGAATTAGCCATTTCCTATTAGCCTTGCTTTCCATTTTGCAGGAAGCCTTTTGCAAAGTTAGCCTTCCCATCTGCTAACCATCACAATAGTGGGGGGAAAAAAAGTCTCAAGGCATAATTTCAACTATTAATAAGTTAATACTGCTATGGGCTATGCAAGCATGAAAAGTCAGAAATTTTGCAGCCATTTGGCACCATAAGCCACTGCCAACATGAGGATTTGGTCATGACTGCAGGGCTCACCTCCATCCTGCAGCAGAGGCAGCATCCTGAAACTTGAATGCCCACGAACCATGAGATGCATTTTTATTGCATCTGGCATTAATACAGTTAAACATCATTTCATTTCAGCATTTTTATGCTCTAGAATATTGAAAAAATAACATGTTAGAAGAGGAGACATGAGAGCAAGATCTCCACACACATGCAGCATCCTGAGGGCACATTTAAAGCATCATCCCAAGCATCTTCTCACTGCAACCCACCTGGCACCAGCGCTGATGATCGTGGCATTCCCCAGTGTGGCCAGCGCTGCTGCCAGTGCCCCAACATATCGGTCACCAGCCAGCTCAGCAGGAGGGGACATGGCTTGCTCCAGGAAGGTATTGCCCTCAGCACCCTCAAAGACCACATACGTGGCCCCTAGTGCCCGCCGCAGGGCCCGGGCACGGGCCAGGTACCAGCTGAGCGCCGCCTCGCTGGTGACGTTGAGGCGGGCACAGAGGCGTCCCTTCCATGTGGTCAGCAGTGGGACCTGCAGAAAAGGGTGGAAAACATGGGTCAGACCCTTCAAATATCCTGTCAACCCCCTAGGCTGGAGGGTGGATGGCGCCGCAGTTTGCAATGTGTGAAAGTGAAAAGAACTCTGCTCCCCAAAAATCCCCCAGTGGGTGGCAAACTGGTGGATCATCAAATGACTATAAAAAAGGGGGGGGAAACATAAAGCATCGAGCTACTTTCTGCAAGCTGGTGACTTTTTGAAACATCTTTCGGCAGTGGAAATTCAAAAGCTGCTTCTTTGCAGAGCAGGAGGAAAGCTGCTCCCCTACACTTTTCCCTACAGCCACGGGGTTTGCCCCAAGCAGGGGATGGGGCTGTCCCAAGCTGTGGGTGGGGAGTATTTATTCAGCTTTAATTTCACAAACGGGGTTAATGTGCAGGTGGGGGGCCATGTCCCATACCAAGCAGCCCCCGAAGCGAGGCTGCAGGCTCAGCCAGTAGCTGGCCTCGTTGTCCCTCAGTGAGCGCAGGAAGAGCGGGGAGGCGATGCTGGTGTAGGGGGACAGCGTGATGGAGAGCTGCAGGGGGTCGATCAATGCAGGGTCCCAGGCATGGGCTGAGCTGCGCCGCCTCCTCTGCTCCATGGACACGTATTCCTGTGAGGAAGCAAGGTGGAAAAATATGTTTAATGGGAGTGGCAAAGCCTCTGAGTTCAGTGTCACCAGATCCACAGGCAAAACCCCAAACCAAGCATCCTGTCCCAGGGAAGGGATGCTCATGGCGCACCAATAAACTCCCTACCCCACAAAATAGGTGCATTTGCACTTTCAAGAAATCTAATTAACCCCCCTTTTAGAGGGGTTTAAGGGTGCTCTTGGCTTGCATTTTGAGCACATGGGCTGGCAGGAAGGGACCTACCGCGGCAGCGAGAGTGGCAGTGCTGCGCTCCCCCAGGGCCAGGACACCCTCCTGAAGCTGGTGCCGCTTCAGTCTCCTGGTGAGCGACCTCAAACCCCGCTTAATTTTGGCAGCTGAGCCCACTGGGCCATAATAGTGCCAGATGGGAGACCTGTGTGATGGAGAAAACGGGGGGAAGAGTTTGCATCTCGCTCTGACACAAGACATTCAGCACAAGGGGATGGAGACAGGCAAGCAAAAAGCATCACTGCCCTACCTATGGCAGCAGATGAGATAAAGCAGCAAGATTTTTTATTATTATTATTTATTTATTTATTTTAACTAATTAGGGCTTGGAAAGCAATGTGGCACCAGGGATGGAGGGAGCAGCTTACCCCAGGAGGGCCGTATCTGGCAGCACCCGTGCTGGCTCCACCAGTTGAGTGCCCACGTGCCGGTGCGCGGTGGCCACATCGGAACTGATGCAGAGGAGGTATTGCAGGGGGACACCGGCACTACCCAGGCAGAAATGCTGGTTGCTCTCCAGCGAAAGGACGAAGGGCACATCGGGTGCCACCGTTACTGTCACTCCTTTGGGGCGAAAGGAAGGGAAAAAGAGATGGCTGGCTCCTGTTGCCTCCACGTCCTCGTGCTGGCGGCCATGAGGACGCGCAGGCAGAGTCCAGCTACTCCCTGGAATTTTTTCCACTCCCTGGAAAAATAAATTCCCCTGGATTGCCCCAACCATGCAAGAATATCCAGCTCTTCACTTCCACTACTCCTTTTTAGCCTCCAGCCCTTAAAAGCCCTTTTGATTTGCACCATTTCTTGCCTTTTTGCTCTGTATTCAGCTCAGGCAGCAGCTTCAGCTTCTTTCCAAAAACATAGCCACAGGGGATTTTCAGGACAACTGATGATTTGGAGGAAATATCTGGAGTTTGGAACGCTGGGAAATAATCCAAATATCCACCCTAAAGTGGAAATCAATGGCAGTTTGATTCATTCCAGCATCCCACAGCAGTACTGGGGACCCATGAGCTCAGTGTGAAGCCACCCAAGAGGAATTTACACCCGTGGTAGACAGGTGTGTAAAATCCTGCTCAAGGTTGGGACATCATTGACAAAATTATTCTGGACTACGCCACCCCTCAGCTTCTTACTTCTAGGCTGGAAATTTGGATGCCAAAAGTTGTGTGTGTTTTATATGGTGCCAGCCAGGGGAGCAGGCAGTGAGGGAGCTGCACCCATCCTGCTCCATCTCACTAGAGACTTCTAGTCTCACTAGAAGGGGGAGATGAATTTGCCCAAAAAAGACATGCCAAGAGCAAGGGATTTCCCTGGGGTAACCTGGGTAAAACCCCATTTTCCAGAGAGGAAGGCACTGAGTTGTAAAATGCAGCCAAGGTTCAACACACTGGCTTTTCCCACAGAGATAGGGCGGTTTGGGATCCATCCCTCATCTACTCATGCTAGCTGTTATCCCATTTATAAAATATATTATAATCTCCAAGTTATCTACCCTGCTCTTTAACAGCCTTGTAGATGAGGGGAGGGATAGGTAGAGGCAATGATTAAAGCCATAGGAAATTGGGAAAAATGGGAAATGAGGCAGATACCTGTTGATCCTAGGAAGTATCTTTCTAGCACAGGGCCATATCCAGTGGGGTTTTTGCCAAAATCTCCGCTGACAAAGGGCTGTGCTGGGCTATCAGCACTGTTGAACGGCCAATGCTGGTCACGGATGCTTGCCCCTCCGTACCAGGAGATATTGGCCATGGAGAAGCAATCCTGCAGCAGGAAGAGAGAAATGTTTCAGCATGGGGACAAATACATGAACGTGTTGCATTATAAGATGCAAACCCCTGCCTGCTATTGCAGCATTGGCACAGCACCTTCTTCCAGGAAGAAAAATGCCCAAACCCTGAGATTTAGGTGTTTTCTGCATGAATTGGTGGCTGCTTGTTTTTTGCTTTCTGCATCTGACCTGCTAGAAGATATTTGGCTTTAGGCTTTTCCTCCACAAGAAAAGAGCTGGGCTTTTAGGTATGAAAAAAAAAAAAATGCTGAAATTCTGCATAAATACTCTTCTGCAACCTTCAGGTTGATTAGTTATTGAGTGGTGTAAGAGCAGGAAGATAAAAGAAATTACAAAACAAAAATCAAGAGTGGAATTTACATATCTTGTTCACTTTGAAGACCACAAAAGTTTTAACTTTCTTTTTAAAGCCAAAGGTAGCAGATTTCCCTCCTCCTTTCCCTGGTTGCCCAGCGCCTCATCCAGCCTGGCCTTAAACACCTCCAGGGATGGGGCATCCACAGCTTCTCTGGGCAGCCTGTGCCAGTGCCTCACCACCCTCTGAGTAATGCATTTCCTCCTAACCTCTAATCTAAATCTCCCCTCTTTTAGTTTAAAACCATTTCCCCTTGTCCTATCATTATATGAATGAGCAAAAAGTTGCTCTCCGCTTTTATAAGCCCCCTATAAGTATTGAAAAGCTGCAGTGAGGTCACCCCAGAGTCCTCTCTTGTCCAGGCTGAAGATCCCCAGCTCTCTCAGCCTCTCTCCATAGGAGAGGTGCTCCAGCCCTCCGAGCATCTTTGTGGCCAGAGCAGAGGGGGACAATCCCCTCGCTGCCCTGCTGCCACCCCTCAGGTGATGCAGGCCAGGATGCAGGTGGCCGCCTGGGCTGCAGGCACACACTGCTGGGTCCTGCTGAGCTTTTTGTCCACCAGCACCCCCAGGTCCTTCTCTGCAGGGCTGCTCTCAGTGAGTTTTTCTCCCAGCCTGTGCTCCTGTCTGGGATTGCCCCGACCCAGGTGCAGCACCTTGCACTTGGCCTTGTTGAATGTCGTTAGGTTCATGGGGCCTGCTTCTCCAGCTTGTGGAGGGAGGGAGGGAAGGAAACCTTCCCACAGGTCTGCTGTTGCGTGCTGCCCAGTGCTCCAAAGCCCCTGAGGGTTTCCCTTCTCTGCCAGAGCAGGGGATCAGCAGGACTTAGCCTCCCGTGTGACTCCACGTGCAGGGACGGGCCCCCCTGAAACCTGGAGGGGTTTCGGGTGAGCAGAGACAGCCCCCATGCCTGTCCTGGCCCTGGTACCACTTCCCACCCCACCACCACCAAGGATACTCCCAGAGCTTGCTACTGCTGCAGGGGCAGAGAGAGGTTAACGTCTCGACAAGGGGCAGGGAGGGGAGATGTAAATTATTAAAGTGGAAATGCTGGAGGCCCAGAATAGCTGCACGGGTGTCAGCTGAACCAGTTACACCAGCTGGGAGAGGGGGGGGAAAAAAAAGCTGTTCTTAACACTTAACTTTCCCCACATCAATATTTTCCAATAGTTTTGTTATTATTTATTTTTTTTAATGGGGGAAGAAAATCCATTCTTGCTCATCCCCTCAAGACCTCCCAAATGAACACAAGCTGATGTTAGCACAGGACGATTCGTTGTGCTTAGGCACCATCCGCCAGCACGAAATAAGGCCATTTAGTGCCAAAAAGGAAAAAGCATGTGAACGAAAACTCTCCATAAATTGTCATCCCAGCAGGAGCACGGGCGCCGTGAGATGCCGCATTGTTCCTGGGGTTGGCAGGGAGCTTCCCGAGCTTTCCCCGTGTCCCCTCGCCACTTCTCACTCCAGCAATTACTTATTTGGTCTCCATACACACACAGCACTGTGAGGAGGTGGTGGCAGTCCCTTCGGTACTTTGGGTGCTCAGCATCGGGGCACAAGACTTCTGGAGGGGGACTTTTTCCCACCCAGCACTCTCCAGCCATGCAAGATCAGGGATAACCCCATAAGCTGCGCTAGGGAAATATTACAATTTGGGCCAAATCCTTGATATTTGGGCTAGTTTGGTGAAGAAAGAGGGCATGGAGTGGGGGATCCCTGGTACCTTCAGCATCACGTCGGGGCGCAGCGGGGTCCAGCGGACGCCATAGCACTCGGTGCCGGGGGCTGGCGGGGGCTCGAGGGAGAGCCGGAGCTCAGCCTCCTCCTCCCATGCGTAGCAGAACTGGCCTCCGTCCTGCCAGCACCGGTCCCGTGGAGGGGGTGGCTCAGCTGCAGGCACGCCGCCCACGGCAATCACGGCCACCGGCTGCCCCTCGGGCAGTGCCCGTAGGAGCAGGGCACCCCGGCGGCGCTCCCACAGCACCCCTCCCGCCCGGCCCCGCAGCACCCACTCCTCCGGTGACTGCTCCAGGGCCTGCCAGGAGATGATGCCGATGGTCATGGCAAAGAAGACAGCCACGCCGAGGCAGCCCAAGGCACCTTTCCAGGGCTCTGTCATCTCCCTCAAGCCCGAGGTCCAGGCAGCTTCGGGGATTCGGCCGGCGGGGCGAGCGATGGGCATGGTACAAGGGATGCTGCTTCCTCTCCCTTGTAAGAAGGAAAATCCTCTTGGACGGCTCTGAAAGAATGTGAAGAGTTAAAATTAAGCTGCAAGGCTTCGCAGTGACCCCGAAGGTAAGAGAAATCCCCCCCCCCGCAGCCTCCCAGTGCTCTGCAGCACTGAAATTCAGCCGCCGGAGGGGAGGGGGACAGGGCTGGGGCTCCGCAGGGCTCAGGGTACTGCCTTGCCACACAGCTCCCCTTGTCTCGCAAAGCTGCTGTAAATATCCAGGGGGGGCTGAAAAAATATTGCAGGGGTGCTTGGAGCCGGGGGGAGGACTGGAAAAGTGACCCCGTAACAGGACACCGGTTTTCCATTCTCCTTCCCCCTTGTCTAGAAAAGTATTTGATTAATGCACAGCCCAAGGGGAAGAGCCACTCATCTGGGTGTGCTGGCTGAGCCCTTGCTCAGAGACCCGGCACCCAATGCTCAAAGCGGGCACGGGGACACCAGCAGTGACAACCTGGTGGGGTGGCACCAGCTTGTCCCCATCGTCTGCCTCTCCCGGCTGTTACACTCTGTTTCGGGGCCAATAATGCAGATTTTGGTGCTGCTGTCCCTGTCGGGGGACCACGTGCTGCCTCCCCTGGCTCTGCACACCCACCCACTGCATCCCCCTGCCAACCCCCCCCCCCCCCGAAAAGCACACATTTTTATTTTACCTAAAGGCAGGTTAAAGGATGCTCCGGCGGTACCCAGGGGCGACCGTCTCTGACCGAGCGCTTCACCCGGGTATTTCTCTGTGGTGCTATAGGGTTTGCTCCTCTTTCCCGAGGGGAAATTTTCCTCCCAGCCCTGCAGCCACGTCAGAGACCTTTATAGCCCAGGCAACTTGATCCAAGCAAAGCCAGCAGTGTTATCTAAGACGAGATGTTGCTCTGCTTCCCACCCCGGGCCCCCGCAGGTTTTTTTACATAAGAAATGGAGCTGGGAAAGTCTTACAAATATTTTCAACAAGCATTTGCTTATACAGCAATAACTTTTTTTTTTTTCCCCTCTTTTTCCTTTTTAAGCAGTTATTGAGGTGGCTCTGGATGAGCTCTTAGTACACACCTGCAGATCCATGCGTAAATGAACCATGCCAGTGCTAAGGCTGCTCATTCTGCTGATTGATTTTACTGTTGCTATTATTATTATTGGGGTTTTCTCCCCATTTCTCATGCTAAATGAGATGCTTGGCATCCCCTTAAGTCCTCTCAGGTCTCAGGAAAAAAAGAAAAAACACCAAAAACCCAGCGCCAAGCCCCGGGTCCAAAGACGCTACTCACCCCAGGAAATGTTGCTCTTAAGGAGGATCTTAAGGTGGCCAAATCCCCTGGGAAAATCCTTCATTGCAACCCAAAAAAAACCCTTGGAGATGCATCTCCCAACTCACAGACTCCAAAATTAGTTTTTCTTTTCACTTTGGGCAGTACCACTGTGGGAGGTGGGGAAAAACTGGTTGGTGACACCAGGACAAGCATCTCCCTGCTGCTGGCTTGGGCTCCTGAGGGTGGAAGGAGGTTCAGATCCACGATGAGGAGAAACGAAGGAGGGGGGCTCACCTGAAGATCCAAGGCAGTGGTGTCCAACCTGACAGGATTCTGGATCTGCTCTCTCTGGTCCTGAGATTAGGAGGGTGGGAACAAAGCGATGGGTGATGGATGTGGGGCTGGGTACCAAACACTACAGGAAGAGGGCACAGCTCTCCCAGCTGGAGTTTGTTGGGATTTCTGGAAGGAGATGGGAACAATTAGGACAATTAAAAATAAAATAAATAAAATAAATAAATAAAATAAAATAAAATAAAATAAAATAAAATAAAATAAATAAATAAAATAAAATAAAATAAAATAAAATAAAATAAAATAAAATAAAATAAAATAAAATAAAATAAAATAAAATAAAATAAAATAAAATCAAGGTTATGGACCAAGCTAGTTTAAATAAAGGGAAAAGCATTAAAAAAAAAAAAGGAGGAAGCGGTTCTTTTTCCACCAAAGACATTAGGACTGAGATCACTGGGCTTATGCTGCTCATGCTGCCCCACAAGCTGGAAGAAAGGCAGCAAGTGGAAGTTAATAAAATTTGATGGCAATTCAGAGTCGTTCAGTCACAATCTAAACCAGGGCTGGCTGAATTATTAGGATAGCATTTGTCATTTATTATTATTATGATTAATAATCAGTCTTTATAAATCCCTCTGCCTTAATGAAAGCACTGTTTAGCTATAAAAAGCAAACAAACAAACAAAAAAAACATACAGAAACAGGACAGAGAAGTTAAAAATTGTCATTAGGACAGGTCCATGATCCCTGATGCTCTTGCCTCTGAATTCCCTAGCCAAAAGGATGGGGACACAATAGGAACCCCAAAATTTCAGAAAATCGTGGCAGGTATCAGCCATTCCCAGCTTCCCAGTGCCCGAGGTGCTGGGGGTGACCCGTGATGCTTTTGGCAGTGAGACGAGCTCCGGGAAAAGCTCTCTCACATGGCACACGATTAAATCCTGGTAGCTGCAGGACGGCAAATCACTCCGAGAGGGGATTAGAGAAACTCAGGCAGAGCGAGTCCGTGGGATGCTGTTAGTGAGATGTATGGTTTTATGAAGCTTTATGTCCCCTCTGTAGAATGAAGTATTCTTCCCCACTTTTCCTAACTTTGTAGATTTTGAAAAGGTTTTAAATTTCCCATTTTGCATCCAATGAGGTAGAACACCTGAGGCCATGCCCAGTTCATCCTGTTGCTGCTTATTACTCTCAACCAAATTTGCACAGGCTTGGAGGTATATGGTGGGTTTAAAAAAAAAAAAAAAAGAAAAGAAAAAAAAGCTTTAATATTGGGAAACCACCAATTTGCTGTTTTAATGGGGGGCTTCCCAAAGGCTCTGATTAATATGTGCCACCTTGAGAGCTTTGATTGACAATGCCTTTAGGGTGGGAATGTGGCTCCTCCAGCTGCTGATGCCCAGGAAAGGGATGAGGTGGGAAATATATTCAACCCAGCAGCAGCACCAATAAGGACAGCTCAAAAAAAAAAAAAAAAAAAAAAAAAAAAAAAAAAAAAAAAAATCAATGATGCTTTCTGGTGAAAATAAATTGGGAAAACAAACAAACAAACAAAAAAGCAGGGAATAAGATTTATTCCTACTGATGTTTCATATCAGCGTCCCATAAGAGAGTCCTTTCTTGCAGTGTGTCCCATAGAAAGGGGTGCTGCAGGCAATCTAAAGTCCTATGGTTATGTTTCAGGCTCAGAAAACAGAGCGTGAGGAGCTGTGGGGACTTTGCTCATGGGGTAAGGAGCACAGGCTTGTCCTTTGTGAGGACCAGCCCTTACTATCAATATTTTCCTGCAGCTTCAGAGCGCCAGCAATCACAGCCAAAGCTTCCCAGGAGCACGCCCAGTCTATATGGGAGATTTTTTTTTATTATTATTTTTTTAAAGAAAAACTATAGAAGTAGATGCATGGGTTTACCTAGAACAAAAGAAGGGTGGGAGCAGCGGAGCACCTCCAGGACTCAGTGTCTCTCTGTGATTTTCCCTAGGCGAGAGCAGCTGCATGCCCCAGGCTCCAACCACACTCTCATCACAGAGATGTATCCTACTGAAATCCTACACCCCAAAACCCACCCGTTTTCCCCCAAAGTTATACATAAGAGGCATAGGGATGAGCACAAGGAGGCAAACCTGGACAGTACATCTGTAGCCATCCTCCTGCCCTCCCCTCAGTACCTCCCCCTGGTTTATCTGCTTTTCCTGACCTGGGAGAAATGCTGTAAAACCACAGGCAGGTACATGTGAGCTGATGCTCTGTGCTGGGTGTTTTCTTTTGGCTTTTCTTCACCCTTGCAGTTCCCAGACCTTCCTTTCAGTGCCAGCAAAAGCCTTCGGCTGTGCTGAGCGTCTCCACATCTTGCAGAGGCTTGTGCTCAGCTGGAGAAAGTACTCAGAACTACCAAACAGTTTAAAAAGAATAAAGGAAACAAAAGAAATAAAGGCTGATATAGCTTGTCTGATGACCGGAAACTCTAAGTTTTGACCCTGGAGACCAGTCCTGAATTTCCCCGAACTCCCAGGCGACTTGGCAGCAGTTTGTAATGGCAATAAAACAAGCAGCAGAACCCACAGTGAGAATACAGACATATAAATAGCAGCAGAGTTTTGAAAGGATGGCTCTGGACTATTGTTTCTGTTTTATTTCTTTACTTACCCCTTTCCATTGTGTCTGCCTGAACTGGGAGAGAAACCACCCTCCTGGGGGCTCGTCTTCCTGCTCCCCAGGCTCCAGCACCCAACAGCCCCCAAGCATTCAGACCAAGCCTCTTCAAGCCAGGGAACTTTGTAAGACCCAGCCTCTTGCAGTTTGCTCTGAACTTAAATTAATATTACTGATTAGAGAGTCTGCATTTATTTCAGGTGCCTAAAGCCAGCACCTGCTTGGAAGATGCCACCACCAGCTTCACACTCCCTTATGTGTATTTGGGGATGCCATGAGGCCAGATGCACACAGCTCTCCAGGCAAAGCCACATGGCCAAACACTTAATTTCTCAAAGACTTCATAAAGTAAATCCAAACCTTTCTTTTAAAGTACGAGGTTGATGATGATGAAGGGCATGCAATGAACTGAAAGCAGCTCCCCCCTCCACGGGCTTACTCTGTGCCTCTTGCTAAGGGGTGATCACACCTGCTGCTGCAATCAGACTTCACATCCCCATGTAAGCATGGTTTTACCCTTCCAAGCAAGGCTTTGGCTGCTGAAGCTGAGCCTTGGGCCCTTTGGTTTCCTTAATGTTTCAGAAAACTCCCCCAAACCACACAGGGTGTGCGGGTGGAGGAGCAGGTACCACAAGACTGGGAGCATCAATGCAAAACAAACAAACAAAAAACCACAACTCATCTTGCTCAACCCAAGCACAACATAGGGGGAAAAAAATGCTTTAGGGTCTCTGCCCAGGTGGTACACACACACACACACACACATTACTTCTTCGGTGGAAGGACTGGCAGAGGGTGCAAAAGGGATGTTGAAGGGGCTCAGCGTGCCTGGGAGGTGCTGTCAGTGACCAGCATGCGAGGAGCTTTTGGGAAGGATGTTTCTGTGTTATTCGCCTCTTCCAAGCTTCCCAGAAATCTGGTAAGCAGATTTGCAGCCTACACACTTGCAAAATTGAATCACTGCCCTGGAGATGCCTTTTGGATGATTAGGCTGAAACTCTCCAGCTCTTCTCTACAGGGCCCAGCCATCGAATTCCCATCACAGCCCTGCCATCAGGCTGGAAGGACTGACGGCCCCCAGGTGCAGGACAGCCCTCCAGGCCCCCCCGTGTCTCCTGAGGGCTGGCATTTTCCAACAGTGCAGCAAAGCTTGGGAACATTTGTCCAGCGCATCAGCATGGGACGCCCTGCTCCATTAAGCTGCATTATCAAGCAGCCCTGAAGCCTGCCCCCACCCCTTTTTGGGGGGACTCCAAGGCAAGTCAAGTAGCAACCTTCACTCCCCATGCTTCAGGATTACACCCTCAAAATTGCCTTATATATTATTGCAATAGCACTGCCCATTACTGCAAGAAGGGGGCTGCAGGCTGAGCATTCCCACACAGCCAGGCACCTCCAAGGTGCTGTAACGTGGGGGTCTGAGCACCTCCTCTCTGCATTCATGGGTTTAATCCTCCTCCCTGAGCCCCGCAAGCTGTAGGACCTCCTCCAAGGAAGACAGAGACCTTCCTCTCCCTCCCCTTGCCTGAGCCCCTGCAGAGCAGTTTAGGATTTTGGGGGCTGCCCCATTGCATTACCCCCAATCCCTAGTCCCCCAGGAGCAGACCACCCTCTCCACCAACACTTTTCCCACTCCTACTTGTTGTGGCACCCTCAAATGCTGTACTCAAGAAAGGAAACTCCTCCAACAGCAGCCAGGAGCACATGAGGATACCTCAAGCTCGTGGAGAGCCTCTAAAGGCTTCCAGCAATTAGCAGCCCTGATGAGCTCCCCCTGGCCTCCCGGAGAGCAGCTGAACAAATGAGGTTTCTTGCTAATTATAGCAGGCGAGCAGGGCCAAGCAAGAGGGGGCTGAAACACGGGCAGCAAATACACCAGGGTTTTGGCCAAAAAAACCTTTCTGAATTCCTGATGGTGTAGAAAAGCGCTGGGGTTGGCTCGGGACAGTGATCCCCGCTGCGCTCCACCCCTGGGGGAGCAGAAGTGTGTGCTGGCCCCACCAGCTGCCAGCCCCTCTCCCTTCCCTCGCTTTGGATAATTTATGCTGAAAAATGTGTGTTTCTGCTCCTCCCAGCTCCGCACAGACCTGGAGCACAAGCTGGCGAGGAAAAGGGGTCCCTCGGGGGCAGGGGACGAGGGCCAGGTGTGTGCCCACATCCGAAAGGGGTTTTGGGGCAGCCTGGGTTTGCAGCCCCCAGTGCTCGGGGTCGGTGAGCGAGGCCGAAGTCTGCATCCTCACAGCCCCAAGTTCCTTCTTCCCTCCCCATCCCGGCAGCTTCATGGTCGGCTGGCTTTTGGCTGATGTGGGTCTCTCCTGAAAAGCAGCCAGCCCCAAACAGCAAACATCCTCTCAGGTTGCCAGACCACAAAGCCCCAAGCCCAGCTCACTTGGGAATGCCATCAAAATAAATAATAATAATAATAAAACCTCTAAAATTAAAACAAAAATCCCAACATTTGCTTCCCCTTAGCCAGCTCCCCAGGGCTTTAAGCCCCAGATTTTGCTCTCGCCATACACAGAGGCCTGGCTGTGAGCAAACCAACAGCTCCCAGTGACGTTTCCCACTGCTGCCACTTCACAGATTAATTAAGATACTGGGAACAAACAGTCCCAAATTGTCCCGGACCCTCGACGGGGTTCATCTTCGCTCCACAGGAGGGACACAGGTCTATGCCAGAAGTGCTGATTTAGTGGGATTTAGTTAAATTCTGGGCAAGAAAGCTCTTGGTTGAATGCAAGCAGCCCCAGAAAGCACCTCAGGGAGCCTTAAGGGAGCGAGGGGTGTGTGCAGTGCGTGATGCTCTGCAGGGCCCCTGGTGAGCATCTCCACCCACTCCTTCCCTCTTGCAGCACCCTGGCAGAGCTGGGGAGAGCCTGGAGACCCGAATTTAAAGGCTTTGTAGCCCACCCTGAAGGCTGTTTTCTCCCTGGCAGGGAAACGTCTGAGTGAGAGAGCACCACACAAAATCACTGTCTGGGCTTTTATTGTCACAGGACGCAGCAACACACAGTTACTTCTCGGAGGACACACACATGGCACGCCGCAGGTCTCCCAAAAAATGCACTTTTTGGATGGCAAAGCAGCACTCTGCACTGGGAGGGTGGGAGGAAGAGAAATCAGGCAGGAGCAGCTCAGCGGGAGGATGTGCCCCGGTGCTGACGATGCAGCAGCACACCCAAATTCTCTGGCCACAGCAATTTCCTATTTGGGATGGGGCAACTAATAAGCAGGTGAGGGACCAAGAATCATTTGCACCTCCCACTCTCTGCTCCGTTGCACCATGTCCCATGATTTGCACCCCGGGGACTCTCTGAGACACACTGCCAATGCTGAGCTGAGCTGCAGGGCGAGGGCATCACTAGAAGTTGCATCAGGAACAATATTCCCCTGGGATGGAGAAGCACGATCTCAGCCCGAGGTTGCAGCGTACATCAGCAGTGCAGCCTGCTTGGCCACCCCACGGAGGCCTGCAGCCCCGAGTGAGGCGGAGACGGAGAGCAAGGGGCAGCCTCAGCCAGGAGCCCATTGCCCGGGCTTTTATTTACAGTGGTGTTAAAGGAGAAAGTGATAAGAAGCTTCAGATGTTGAAAAACACAGGTTTTGAGAAAAGCCAGAGGTTAGCAGGCTTTTTTCCCCCTGCTGTAAACAGATCTCTGCTTTCCTTCGGAACATGCCCGTGCTGCCAGCCCGTGAGTGAGGAGGAGAAGGGCTCCAGCAGAGCCCAAGGGACACGAGAAAACCCAGCGAGCCTCAGGTGGGGAGCAGGGGATCCACAGGGAGGTGTCGGAGATGGGTCTGGTACTCAACGAAGCAAATTGGTGCCTACAAGTGTTGACCCAGCACCGCTGAAGCCAACAGGGATGATCTTTGTTGCTGACTTCAGCCATGGAGGAGGAGGAGGAGGGAGCAAAGGGGTGGGACAGAGGAAGAGCATCCTCCCTGCCGACGCAAAGCCTGTTTGTGGAAACCTACAGGCTTTTGGAGGCTGCTCAGCACCAATCCCACCCGCCCCACCTCTTAACTTTCCCCTCCCAGGAGCTCAGCCCTGGCCCACAAGCTGCCCTCCAGCCCCCGAGGAAGGTGGCTTCTCACTCCCCAGTGGGTGCCCTGGCAGCAGGAGGACCCATCCCCTGGTCCCGGCTTGTCCATCGCTCCTGCCTCTGCCCTGGGGGTGCTCACTCGGGGATGTAGTCCCTGAAGGAGTTAAAGCTGAGGCTCCGGCCCGCCGAGTTCAAGGTGGAGCTGGCTTGCATCTTGGGGATCTTCTCCATCACCTTTGACACTGTCCTCCTCTTGAAGGAGCCCGGGGAGAAGTGCCCCTGCCTCATGAGCTCCTGGTAGAGGGTGTTGAACACCACCACGGTCTCTTCATAGCTGTCCCGGGTGGAGATCTCATAGAAAGGAAGCTTCAAGGTTTTGGAGAGGTTTTCGCCATCCTCTGTGGACACCATCCTGTCAAACTGCAAGTCCTTCTTGTTGCCCACGATGACCACAGGGGGCTGCTCGCTCCCACCGCTCCGCTTGGGGCTGGCGTGGATGTGGTTGATGAGGAAGCAGAGCCGCACAACCTCGTCGAAGCTGCACCGGTCCGTCACCGAGTAGACCACCGCAAAGCCATCTCCCCACTTGATCTTCTCCTCTATCTGCAGGGAGTCTTCCTCCTGGAGTGGCAAACAAGCCCCCGTTAGCACGAGAAGACCCCGACATCTTCTCAATACACACATCGACAACTGCAACCACTAAAACCTCCCGTGAGGGCCCACCACCTTTATTCCTGAAGGGTTTTTGATGCTGGGATTGCACATGGCAGGGATTTGCAAGCAAGACCAGAAGGGGAATTTGTTGGACTGGGCAAAGCGATGGGTGGAGGCTGCAACCAAACACATCTGATGTGGACAAGGGGAGGATGAGGGCCACCACGGTTGCAGGGCTGCATGGGAAGTCATCACAGGACTCTCCATTCCCTACAATCATTTTGGAGGTAAACTCTCCAAAATGTCATTTTTCTGAGACAAACAACTCAATTGATATTTCAAACATGACAGATTAAGGCTGGTGGAAGAGCAGGGGTGTCCTCCAATGGCAAGTGAGGTTGCCCCATCAATGTTTGCCAGGGTCAGCCAGTGGTGTGAGCTCACCTGCCCCGCCGTGTCAAGGATCTCGAAGTGCACCATCTCCCCATCGATGACAGCCATGTGCCTGTAAATCATTTCTGGAGGAGGACAGACAGAAAAGCACAGGGGTGAGAAGCCCTCAGGTGGAAAACAACAACCAAGGCTGCCTTGATGCAAACCCTGCTGGAGAAGTCCATTTTCACCTACTATAACCCACAGCCTACGTGGCCTCCAGCTCTAATGCAGCTCTCTTGCCCTGGCCCTGTCTCTTCCAGCACAAAACATGCCATGAAACACCCCAAGCTTCATATTCCTCATTGTGTCATTGCCCTTGAGCTGCTGCCGTTTGAGCCTGGCAAAGCCCAGATTGCTGCCAATTTTATTTCAGTGTGTGGCTGAGTGCATTGAGCCCCACGGTGGGACTGAGCAGCAGGCAGAGAGGAGTTCCAGAGAGGAAAAACAGATTTCACTTTTTTTTGGGAGAAAAATGTTGTTCACCATAGCACACATCCACTCTTTCTGGAACATTTCTGCTGGGATCTGACTTAAGTACCCCCAAAAACTCAAATCCAACGCAAAACAAAACACAACTAGAGGACAGGAAAGCACCGGCCACTGATCCAGGAGATACCTCCTCCCAGCTACCTGCATGCTTGTGCAATGCTGACGTCCTGTCCCAGCAGGTTTTGCCTTAACAAAACACCAAAAAAAAGAGGAGGGACACAAGAGCTGCCACGAGGACCAGTGGCTCTGACCAGGTTGAGGAGGAGCAAGCGAAGGTGGTGGGTTTGAGGGTGGTGCCGCTGAGCGAGCAGCAGCAGCACCAGCAGTGAGGAAAAGGACTTCACCTACCTAGCGTTGGGTCATAGTCTCCAATGAACCTCCTGGTGATGAATCTTACGGTCAGTGCTGTTAATAAAAAGACAAAACAACAAACCCAGTTATGATTGTCAGAGCAAACCGTGCAGAAATATTGGCTGATGGAGGCAGGAGGGAATGGAGCAAAGACCTGCCCCAGCGGGGACCAGGAGGCCATATCCCAGCTAAAATACTTCCAGAGGACCCAGCACCATGCTGATGGGAATTCATCTGCCTTATACAAGGGCCAACACAGAGCAGGTGGGGGTGACCCAGGACATTTGGTGCCCTCCCCAGCAGAGGGGACACTGCTGAGATGCTCCAGGAAGAGGACGAAGTCTGTGCCCAGATCAGACATCAGCCATGAAAACACCCTCCACATCAACAAAACTCAGCATCACAGCCTTGGAAAGCAGCGGCAGCCCCTTGGGACTCTGCTAACCCAATCTCTTGCCTGGCCAGAGCTCAGCAGCCTCTCCCACACTGCTGCTGTCAGAAACGTCCCCTCGGGGCACGTGGACGAAAAGTGGCTCCTGCCTGGTGGCCAGGAGCAAAGTGCAAGCCAGGGAAACCCAACCCCACAACCCCTGCCTTTTGCGTGCAGCTTACAGTCAGGTTTGATAAACTGCTCCTTCTGGCCCTGAATCCTACAGAGATTTATGCACGTGCTGAGCTTTATGCCGGGTGAGTGATGCCCTTGGTGGCCTCCAGCCAAGTGCTTTCCAAATGTGAGCTCAGTGCGTTGGCGAGCCACCGCAGGGCCAGGCTCCCCCTCTACATCACCACCACTGGCGGTCTGACTGCCTGGATGGGTCTCACGAATCTCAGCCCTGTTTGTTTAACCTGACCCAGGCATATTGCAGGGAGGAATTAAAGCCATTGGCACCAAATCTGGTGAAATTCGTCTCAAAAGGAGCATCGCAGGGCATGGCTAGCCGGGAGGGATGTGCTGAGCAACTCTGAGTGGGGTCTTCTTTACAGCAGCAACGTGCTGCAGCAAAACAAGCCCTGGAAAGGCAGTGCGTGCAATTAAACTGCTCTTATCCGATTACCAGACCTCCCTGCAACACAGACAGGGAGATGCAAAGCCCAAATTATACTCTAGTGGCTGGCCAGGGTGGAGGTCTGCTGGTGCTGCAGGCTTGACCATCCAAACACGGCAAGGGCTGGAAAAAAATCAGGCAAAAGTCATGCCTCTTGTCACCTCTCTCCATCTAGCCAGGTTGGGTGAGACAGAGCTCAGCTCCAGAGCACCCACAGATGCTCAAGCCCAAGTAAAGGCTTGTTCAGGGTGAGCTCTGCAAAAAACAAAACCAAGAAACCAACAAACACCTCAATGAAGAGATTCCTGAAAGGGAAATAAGGTATGGCAAAAGCTTTCCCTTCGTGCAGAGCCTCTAGCTGGGGTGTTTCCAGCAGCAGGGACAGCAGATAGTGCTGGTGAATAGCCAGGAACAGGAAACAGGAAAAAAAGCAACAGCTCTTTGAGCACAGGCACAAGCTGGAGGTACCAAACACCCACTGGCCAGAACTTACTTGTCGTCGCTACTAACAGAGCTCCAATGGAGGAGACAACCTCTGGCTTCTGGGGTGTATTTTCCATACTCACTTCTTACCCACAGCCTCCACCACCCCACAAAAAGCTGTGAGGAGGTTGAGATGCTCTGGGAGACACTAGAGACCCAAGGATGAGCAGGACATACAAGCCCCAGTGCTCAGCTGGCGTCCATTTAGCAGGAGCTGAGAACTTGCCCCTGGGGCTAGAAAGTTTCTTCCTCCAGCAGGGGAAAGTCCTGGCACAGAGCCTGTGACTGCAGAGAGCAAGCATCACCAGGGGGCATTAACTCGTTAAAGTGGCCCCTCTAATCCAGGATGGGATAAGTGCCAGGGCCCCAGGGTCAAGGGCTGGAGGTGGTTTGGTGGAGACCTGGCCAGGGACTTGTGTGTGTGCCAGGACTGATGAGAAACCCCACAGCTCTGGCTGATGGGGGTAATTAGGGAGCATAGTCTTCAACAGCAATACAACAAAGCTGTGGGGCTGACCCAGCAAGGGGGAGTTCCCAATGTGTTTCAGTGCCCTGCTCAGAAACCATCATGGAGCTGTGCCTTCCTATCAGCAGGAGCATCGGACGGTCTCAGACAGAGCCAGCCATGGGTGAGCTCCTGCAAGAGCCCTTTGTCTGGCCAAAAAAAAAAAAGAAGACAAACCCAAAGTGTTATTTTTGCACTTGGCTTCTTTTCCACGCTCACTCTCTGGACATCTTTTCAGTCCTTAGGAGCTGATCCATGCGCCCACAGGCCACAGATGTTCAAAGAAAAATGGTCCGTGCAGCATCTTGTAGGCAACATCTTCTCAGTGCAGCTGCTGTGAAAATGCTCTGTTGGTGCCTCGGTGTGATTTTTGGTGCAGACAGAGAAAGGGTCTGGAGGCTGGATGGAGCACAGCTAATGTAAGTGATGCTTAAGCCCTTGAAGGTGGTTGTGATGGTAATGGTTATGGACGGGAGCGAAAGGCAGCGGAGAGGCTGAGAGATGGCTTGGAAAGAGAGGCAATAGGAGCGAAAAGTGAAAATGGTGGAAAATGAGTAGGAATAGAGGGCACGGAAAAAAAAAAAAAAAAAAAAAGAAAAAAAAAAAAGAAAACAGTAACAAGTCAGGAGCTCAGAGCCCCAGGAAAGGCAGGATGAAGAGGCTGCACGTAGGGCGCCAGCACAGCAGGAGCAGCAGGAGGAGGAAACAGAGCCAGGAGCGCAAAGGGAGAACAAAACACACTGAACCTAGGACATGGCATTAAACCCTCCTGGTTACAAGAAGCCGATAAAAAGCTCCCAGCCAGCAGGACTGGTGTGCTCCCACGCCAAGGAGACATTTGCTTTTTGCCCACAAGCTCAGGGAGAGTTTGGCCCAGCCGTTCATCGTGTTGAATGTTGTTCCACATCTTATGAACGTGCCTGGCTCCTGCTTTGGGGATTCAGCAGTCCTTCCACCTTTCAAGCAGCCCCTGAGTTTCAAACCCTGCCTGTCAGAGAAAGGATTTGATGACATAAACATGTCATTTAGCAAAATTGCTCTGCAGAGATAGTCAAGGACCCCGCAGGAGGCATGCAGCAGCATCCTTAAAGAGGGACCCAAATTGTCAGGGGGAAAGGGAGGAGGTCAGTCCTGATTTCTAGAAAGCACCTAATCCCATGTTGCATGTTCAGCAGCCATCCGAAGCTGGTGTGCATGGTGTTGTATGAGAGGAGGAAGCCAATTAAATTGATTAAAAATTGGCTCGGGTGCAAGCATTTGGGCGAAGCTGCCAGTCAGGAGAAGGGGATGAAGGCAGCAAGGCGCGAGCACGTCCAAGCAGCCATATATGGAGTTTTTTTTTCCCCCATCTTGAACATAAATAACCTTGGAGAGGGCTCTCTTTGGAGAATCCTGGTGCAGATAAGGTTAATTTGGTCTCTCTACGTGGTTAAGGGGATGCTGTGATGCCCAGCTAAGCCACGTTGCAGGGACTGGCTGGCCACCTCGGTGGCTGCCCGGTGCCCTGTGCGCCCACGTGCTGAGCTGTTTATGCTGCTGCATAGCACATCCCTCTTGTGAGCGGAGCAGCTTACAACATCAATTCATCTTTGGGCCGTGTTTTGTAAGCAGAGCTTCCCTCTGAAGTGCAGCAAAGTTTACACTGGCTAGGATCAGCAGCAGAAGGCAGGAGATAACGCCGGAGAAGGGCTGGATTTACAGCCCCCCGCAGGTGATTTATGCAGCCTGGATCTCACGGCTACTGATGGGGTTCAGCCACAGGCCTGTCCCCAAGCTCATCGCTGCTCAGAGGATTCAGGACCTCAGGTCACTTTGTCCCACTTACGTGGGGCTGCTTAGGATGCCTCCCTGGGAGGCTGGATTTGAAGTTTTCCAAGCTGCCCCAGAGAGTCAAAGCGAGCTTCTTTCCCCCCTTTTGTAGCTGTCCAGATTTTAATTGCTCTTTAGATTAGAAACAAGTCGCAGGCCAAGGCCCCTTCAGCCCCCAAACCTGGTTTCTGCATCCAAACCCAGCCATGAGGCTCCTTCCTTAAAGCCCTGGCAGCCCTTGGTGCCCCCTGTCCCGCTGCCAGGGGGATGCAAGCAGCTCGCCCGCGTGGTGCTGCAGCCCAGGGCCTCCTGTCTGTCAGCACCGGCAGCTTCGTGGCTGCAGGATGGGCTCCTGAGACCTGGCCTTCAACCCGACATGAACAACAAATCCCTCTCACCCTGACCAAACCTTCCGCGAGCAGATCCAGCCTTGAAGTCAGTCCAGAGCCAAAATGCCTGGGCTGCAAGTGGGACAAAACGCCAGCTGAAAGTCCGCTTCGATTCCCCCGATCCCCTTTCCCAAAACGGGGCACCCCTGCCCTTCTCACTCCTCCCTCTCCAGGCTCCATCCCAACACAGGGTCTTTTCAGGCTCATGGCCCATTACCAGGGCATCGATGCGATGCTGCCACGCTCTCCCCAATGTGCAGCACAGCACCCATGGGGACAGAGGTGGGGAGATCCCTGTGCTGAGGTGACATGACATCCCTCCTTTGGAAATTCGGCAGCGAGGGCAGGATGCTGCCGACACGTCCCTGTGGATGCTCCCAGTCCCTCCCTGCCTGGAACAAGCCAGGCATCGATCACCTCCCTCTGCCCTGGTCCCTGCAACCAGCACCCAGGGCCCCCTCTGCTCCTCCTGCTGGCAAGGATTTCGGCCAAGGCTGAACAACCCCCCTGTTCCTGCTCCCAGCTGGGCTGCATGGCTGCTCCTCCAGGTGAATTCGGCAGAAAATATTCCCGCAGCTCAAATTTACCTGCCTGGAGAAAGGCAGGTGCGCTGCTGCTGAGTTTTGCCCAGTTTTTAATCACAGCAGACTTCTGCTTTTTAATTCTCTGCCGAGAGCACCGGGCCTAGGGAGTCCTTATTTAGGCATTTAGCCTCAATATTCACTTTGATTTCTGGAGTGTGAGCTCCTGCTCTCTAACCGGGACCTCGGCGGCACCTCCTATCCAGCAAGCGGGGCAAACAGCAAATTTATTTTTTTCCCCTAACCCCGGGGAAGAGGAAGGCAAGAGGCTGGATGGTTACTGTATATGGAAACGCGACGTGGACGGCACAGACAGCTAAAGCTGCTGGCAGCAAGCCTGGCGGAGGTGCCACCGCCACGGCCCCCGTTCAAGGTTGTGCCTTTGGTGGAGTTGCCCTGTCCCCAAGGACGTGGCAGCACTGTCCCCAGCCCCGGTGCTGCCAGGACTTCCCCTGTCAGTGACCGGCACCCTTGGGTGCTGCAGGAAGGGCGCGGGGGCAGCTGCCAGCCCTACAGGGGGCCAAGGGGAGAGTTGGGTGCCCCCAGCTCCGCACCCCAAAATCCCCCACCCGTCAGCTACAGATGGAGAGCGCAGGGAGAGAGAGTTTGCCAGGAGGAAAAGTTAATTGCTCTCTGCTGCGAGGGGCTCCACAGACCCCGCTATTTCCCTACAGACACCCAGCAACCCCCAAACCTCAGCCCGCCGAGCGGCCCCCGCAGCTCCAACAGGACACCCCAACCCAGCGCCCTGCTTGTAGAGCTGCCCAGCTGCAAACCCCAAAGCCGAGCGGCGACCCTCTTCCACAAAAATCAAAGAAGGGGGCTGAGGAACGAGGGGTTCCCCTGGGGACACGCTCCCCATCCCACCGCCCTGGCCGGGACCCCCCTCTTTCCTACCTGTCTTGCCCACCGCGCTCTGCCCCAGCACGACCAGCCGCAGGGTGCGGGCAGGGCTCAGGCTCACCGAGCGCCGCAGGGGCCTCGGGAAGCTCATGCCGGGGCTCCGGGGCTCCCAAAGTCCGGGGCTCCGAGGCTCCGAGGATCCCAAGCTCCGGGGCTCCGCGCTCCGCCGGCCGCGCACCGGCGGCTCCGCCCCGGGGGCCGGGCAGGGCTGGGAGGCTGGCGAGGGGATGCTCACCTCCTCCTCCTCCTCCTCCTCCTCCTCCCTCTCTTCCTCCCCTCCTCGCCTCTTGGCACCTCTCCATCAGCTCGGCTTTGCCCCGCGCCCCGTTTTGCAGCGGGAGGCCGTAGCCTCCAGAGGTCCTAGGGAAAGGGAATGGGACCTCTGCAGGAAACGGTGGCTGAGTTGTTGGTTTTAAGAAGACTTTCCGCCAGGTCTGGAACCACATCTTGCCTGTGCTTTGGTGTGGCAGCACTGTGAGAGATTTCAGTAACAGGGCACGGGCATATTTGTGAGCAAGGGGCGTGCGTGCACGGATAATTGTGGGCACAGGCGAGGTGCAGCCACGCAGAGCAGCAGCTGGAGCGGGCGAGGATGTACACGGGGGGTGCACACCCAGCCCCAAAGGCAGCAGGGTGCTGGGATGAAGGGAAAAGACCTGCAGCATCTCGACTACCTTCAGCAGGCTCTAGGACAATGCTTGCATGTGCGGTGCAGATGCACGGCTGACACCAGCACCCCAAAATCCTACAGGAGAGACTGCGACCAAGGCTGCAGAGCAGCTGATCAGCCCTGCTAGGGCTCCAGCCTCCTTTTGGAAGGCTTCAGTCATTCCTTGGTGACGGGGCAGTTTGCCTGACAAGCTCCAGTGACTTCACTTGCAGCAGCACACAGATCACCTCGGCCTGTGCTAACTGGTGACAGTCACCTCACCCAGTATTTATGGCCTGAATTTACAACCTCTACCTCGTGTCAAAGATAAACGTCGATGATGCCTGCACAGGACATGACCTCAGATGGAGAGGAGGATCATCCGAAGCATTCCTGCCACCAGTGGAACCACCGAAGCCCCCCCTGGGAAGAGGGCCCTGGATAAAACAAAGAGCATCTTCAGGGCAAGCCCAGGAAAGGAACAGGAGGATTTCACAATTCCTTCTGTGGCACCAGCCCCTCGCAATCCCCATGCTCGTGCACCACTTCCCCAAGGCTGACAAGAAACACATCTGCAGCCTGACTACATCTGGAGCCCAGAAGACAACGGCAAGAGCTCCAAACCTCAGATTTCAGGACAAAAGCTTCTACCCAGCTGGAGAGGGGGGGCGTCAAGAAAAAGAAGGCTTCCTTATGTCCCTCTCCTATTTTTAGTCCCATTTCCTAAGGAAATGAGATGCCTGTAATCAAACCCTCTCTCGCCTGTCCC